TTTTTTTTTTTTTTTTTGTAGAGATGAAGTCTCACTATGTTTCCCAGGCCAGTCTCAAACTCTTGGGCTCACGCAGTCCTCCTGCCTTGGCCCTGCAAAGTGCTGGGATTTCAGGCATGAGCCACCACACCCTGCCTAGATGGGATTTCTAAGATTGTGCCTTCTCTCAGTCCTGCAAAGCCAGTTCAGGTTCTGAGAACCTTCCCTTTGTTTTCTCTTGGGTGGTTCTCTGGAATTCTCAAGTTTGTGTGCTTTTTTCCAGTCCCACAAAGTCAAACTGACTATGAGATGTTTCCACTTGTTGCCCATGGTGGCTCATTTGGGGACTCAGCCTGGGTGGGAGAGTGAAATGTGTGGAATGTTTGGCATGCCTGTGGATCAGGAATACAAGGGGCATAGGTCAGGCATCTCAAATGGCAGGCTTTCTGATGAGGTGTGAGTGAGCTCTGTAGTCTCTTTTCCCTGCTCCCAGCCTCTCCTAACCATTCAACCATGCTGATCATCTCAGTGTTCTGGGTGGAATGAGAAATAAGTGGGTCCACAGGACAGCATCCTGAATTGAACGGCTGAGGGATGTGGGCACTCACTCATTATGTTTTCCACTTTTTTGCTTTGGAAGGAATTATGAGCCAAGTGGACCTATCTGAGCATTGAGTTGTGCCACCTTGGAGGAGGAGTGATGTGGGTAAAGCAAAACTGTTCTTCTTACCCTCTTTAATACATCTGTTAGGATTTTATAACCTGACAGTCTGCTGGAACTTCTCTGCTGGACTCTTGGACTCCCACAAGGGTATTGTCTCATCTGTGGACAGTTGTCTCAACTGATGCTTCTGTGTGGGAAGAAAGCTCCTATTCTACTATCTTGCTGATGCCATTATCTCATATTTCTTTTGTTAAATGATTAGGAGTTGAATAGGAGAGGAATTGCATAGCTGTGGGGAAAACAGTGCTGCATAGTGTGATGGTGAATGTTTGTGAACATTTCTCAGGATATTCTGTACACTACTTTGATTTCTTCTTCTTCTTCTTCTTTTTTTTTTTTTTTTAAAAAAAAAGACTTTGGTCAGTTTTTATATCTTTTCATGTTATGGCAGGAAGAAGCACTGATTTTCTTTTAATTTTGCCAAAATCTCTAAATATACTTACCTTGGTTATCATATGAAGTATCTAGAGAATTGAAGAAAAATTATAATATTCTTAATTTCTTATAAACAGACTCCTATATTAATTTCTTAGCAATACAATAATTTACCACTTTCTGTTGAATATGTGTGTCGGGATCCTAAAAGAGAAGATTAAAAATGTAATGAGATTTTACCTCAACGAGTAAGTCTGCATTATTTTTCGTTAGATAAAAATCTGTTTACCTCTTCCTGTTTTAGATCTCTGAGGAGAAAAATCTTTTAGGAAAGAAAATAACACATTAACTTTACCATCAGTTCATTAAAAAATAAGTTTATCATTAGTCTCAACTGAACTACTAAAAGATTTGCTAATTTTCCAGATATTCCCATTTTCTTTGGGTTTTATTTCAGAAAATAAGAGGTAATGCCATGGCACTTTGTTCCTCACTCTTGTTGTTCATGATAGATGAATCATAGAGGCAAGAAGGAGAAGGATGGACCAAGAGTTCAAGTGTGGGGCATGGACAGCAAGTGAAGTGGCTGAGCTACTTCCTCTTTTCTTTCCTCAACTCTCAGGGATCTATATGCTTGTAGTGTGCGTGTGTGTGTGTGTGTGTGTGTGTGTGTGTGTGTGTGGTGTGTGTGTGTGGTGTGTGCGTGTGTGTAATTATATCCACATATCCACATCTACAATCTCATAACCTTATAGTTCTGGTGTAGCTGGTGGTCCTGGTGTGGACAGCTTTAGTGACTTCCAGCAGGAATGAGAGGTAGCTCTAGTGGTTCTTGCTGAGTTCTGGAGATAGGACTAGTCAGAGAGAGAGAGAGGGAGGGGAGAGAGAGAGAAAGAGAGAGAGAGAGAGTGAGTGAGCCAAGGGCACATCAATAGGCAGCCGTAGTGAGTGGATGTTGAAAGAGAAGATTGAGTGTTGGGGCATGAGGGTTAACGGTAGCCACGGTACATTGAAATTAGTGGTACTGGTGTGTCCCTTCAAAAAAGTAGACAGTGCGTTGCTGTCTTCTCATAACTATCACATTTCAAAACCTGAGTTTGATATCCAGCTCCTTCCTCAGCTAGGTGAACTTGAGTAAGTCGCAATCTTTTGAGCATAAATTTCAGCTTCTTAAATGGGGATAAGCTTTGTTTACCTCTTATATTATGCTGTATGGCTTTCAAAGTATATTTTTACATATACTCTTCCATTTCATATTCATTTTATCCACATTTTAAACATCCAAGAAATTATTTTGGAGAGGTTCTTTAACCTTTCTAATATTTGGGGGTAAACAGAAAATGGAAATGAATTATTTTGATGGTCTTAAGAAGGAAAATTATTTACCTTCCCTGAGAAAAATGCACAATTTTTCTTAAGAGAGACAGGAATGATAAGCATTTGGATATTATAACAAGGAAAGATATCCTGACTCAACAATCACACTCAAAGGGAGATGAGTCGATTTACTCTCTAAAGAGTACATTTCTCCATTAACTCTCTAGTAGCTCCTAATTTATTTACCTCTACCATCCTCACAGTCCAGAAGTCCAGCACCTAGAAAAAAGGGAGAGCACATGATTTTGCTTCTTGATTATTAATGAGGCATTATTTAAGACTCTGAGAACTAATGTAAACATGAACTCCTAATGGTGAATAATGATGTGAATTAATTTACTTTGCAGAAACTAGGAATTGTGCATAAGTTGCAGGAGTTGATGATGGTAAGTGACTGTGCCAATCACCAGTTTTATCATATTAGTCAGGCTAAGTGGTAATCAGGAGTTTCAAAATTTCTTTTACCTCTTGATACTTCAGCAGCTAGTCTCCTATTATTATTATTTTTTTTGCCTTGTACCAATCCAGTGCTATCTTTCTTAGCAAGTTTGGCATCTCTCCAGACCTTTCCATGGAAAGTCTTCTTCACCTCTTCACATCCTGAAGTTGGTAATCTTCTCAGTATAATTACCTTAACTGTGTTCACTCTCTTTATTCTAGGATACATTAGATTTTTCTGTCCAGCCACCTTACTTAGACCCTCTGCAGTAATGGATTTTGTTTTTTTACTGAGCCATCTGTTCCATCACCTGAGGAGTTTGCTATTTCTATGGGTTAGTATCTCTGTTGCTGCTCTCAGACCACAGGAAGCATCTGAAGAGAGCCTCAAAATTATGCAGGCCTACCCAGTATTAATTAATTCTTTCCCACTCTGGTTGGGCATTCAGTACTGCTGAGAGATCTCTGGTAGATTTCTCCCAGTCACTTAGAAGTTCAGTTCATGCAATGGTGCACTGTGTAAGGTTCTGGAAAAACAACTGTAAACAACACAGATTTCATTCCTGACTTGTGAAAATTCTATAAATACTTACTATATTTCTTTTTCTTATAAGTACTTACTTTGTTCTGAACAGTAACTGGAGACATACATTTCTGTGGAAGAATTAGGCAAAGTATTTTTATTAGTTAGTTGTGAGAAGTGTTCTTCCTCTGATCCAATTCTCTTCACTCTCAGCTGTGCTTCCTGTCTCCCAAGGTGGTCCTCCTGATACAATGCATTATTGTTCTCACCTATTTTCCACACCTCCCATCAGCCCTGTTTTATCTATCTTTTCCCACTACTTATGCTTCGAGGGCTCACAGGCGTTGAGGGTGGGAAACAGGGAAGGAATATAACTGATTAGAAAGTTGTGGGAGAGAAACAGGAAAATCCAGGAAAGAGTGATCTTATGGCATGGAAATAGGCCTTAGCTTTTATGAGCTCCATCTCTGTTTCATTGACAAGTAATACTCCATATTTGTCTCTTCTTGTCATCTCCCCAAATTAAGTCACCAAAGTCTCCAATTCTTTTTATGTAATACTGGATATTGGTGTTTACCAACATACTGTCTTCACATTTCTATTTTCTTTTAAACTCGACTAATTTCCCTTAGAGCCCAGGCACTTTTCTTTTAAAGTATTCTTATTACTTTTGCTAAACTCTATCTGTAATTTTTTTTTTTTTGAGACAGGCTGTCACCCAGGCTGGAGCACAATGGTGTGATCTTGGTTCACTGCAAACTTCGCCTCCCTGGATCAAACAATTCTCCTGCCTCAGCCTCCTGAGTAGCTGGGATTACAGCTGTCCACTACCATGCCCATCTAATTTTTGTATTTTTAGTAGACACGGGGTTTCACCATGTTGGCCAGGCTAGTCTTAACCTCCTGACCTTGTGATCTGCCCGCCTCAGCCTCCCAAAGTGCTGAGATTATAAGTTTGAGCGACTGCACCTGGCCTATCTGTGATTTTTTTGTTTGACATTATTGATAATGTAAACTTTGGGAGTTAAAAGTGCAGGGAGAATCACTAATAGGTCACAGATTTTTTGACTCAAGTATTGAAACAGATTCCCAGAATATTGGCAAAGTCTCTAGCTGTCTGATAAGTAGAGATGAACTCAGACTGAAAATCTTGGCATACCTCCCTCCACAATTTTCACAAGAAATCTTCATTTTGACTCATTATTACTCACCACTTTGCTTATGTTGTATCCATCTTGTTAACAAAATAGCCAGGATGGCAAGTCCCAGTAGAGTCAGGATGATAGCCAAAGTTATTTCTGAAAACAAAAACTCACATGTAGATATGCTTATTTAGACTAGGTAATTACCAGAAACAACTCCTGATCACCTCTTACTAACCACCAGATAGACTTTCTCCCCCTTTCTCCTACTTCAACTCTTTTTTATTTGCCTTATATTACTGTCCTCACATTCCTGCCCGTGCCCATTTTTAGCTATTACATTGGTTCTTTGGTCATATACTAAGAACCTCAGATGCTGTGTACCCTTTGTTTAGAGTTGGCAATCCAACAGATTTCCTCATCAACTGAACCCTTTACTCCCCAGGCAGGAAGAATGTTAAAGGGAATCAGTGGTCTACAAAGCTACCCACTGGGATATCAGGGGAGAATATTACAACTTCCAGATTTTGTGTAATTTTAACTCATACATTTAAAGTTGCAAGGTTTTCTGTATATATGTACACACACACACACACACACACACACACACATATATATATGTATAGCTATAAATTTCTAACATTTATAAATATACTTGTATAGGGAATGCATACACAAAACATTTTCATGAGTGAATTATTGAAAAGCTTTCAGCACCCTGACTGAAGGATGCTGTCTGAAGGTGGTTTTATTAGTGAAAACCATAGCAAAGGACAGAAATTTCTTATCACAGAAAAACCTTTCCGTCATTGCTCACCAAACCCCTCATCATATGATGGATATTTGCGAGGTTTGTTATTGTGGTTGGTCGGATAAAACATGCTGGGTTTGCTTAACTTGTGTTTGTTTATGTGTTATTAATTTGCATTCAATTGATGTAAGATAGAGTCTTGCAGTTATAGGAGAGAAAAATCTTAGACAATATCATATGGTTATAAAGGCAGTGGCTACGAAGGATCTGGTGGAGGAAAAAATAAGAGAGAGAGAGAGAGAGAGCGAGAAAGAGAGAGAGAGAGAGACAGAGAAAGAGAGTGAAAGGAAAGAAGAAAAACCAACCAATCTGCCTGTGAAAGTAAAATCTCTGAAGAATATTGAGCTCTGAAAGACTAAGGAAATAGATTACACCCAGATTAAGGCTACTTCAAACAAACAATAGGTGAATCCACCTCAAGAGGTAATAGCACACCTCCAATCAAGACAGATTAGGCGCTTGTCTACTGAGCCTTCTAGGTGTTTGGTCCTGTGAGAAAATTCTGCCAAATCAACTTTTGGAGATTTTCTCCTAATGTGCCACTAAAATGAACAGCAAGCAGTCAATATGGCCTCCATCATGTGAGTCAGATTTTTTTTTTCTAGTGTTAAATAACCCATAGGGGAGGGAAGATAACCAGATGGTGTACTCAGTACTACTGTATACTTAGTAGTATACAGTAGTACTCCCTTTCTTTCTTTGGTGTCTGAAATGCCGTCTATAGGACAGTTAGAAGATGGTCCATCCCATTGACAGGGAAAATAAGAGGAAATCATTGTTTCTGAGTTGAGGCAGATTATAGAGTGATCATGCTATAGAAAGGAATATAATGTGCGAAGAAATTTTCCTAATGCTATGGAGGATGGTTATTTTCTTTGTTCAATTTAAACTCTAGAAACCAAAGGAGAAACCACCACTATCAGCCTAAAGCTTAGTTAACTGTGGGTTGTTTGACACAGGCTTCCAGAGGAATCAATGACAGTGAAAGAAAAAATAGGGAATTTGATAGGAAGCAGGTAAGGAAGATAAAACAGTTGTGTTAAAGTCCCTAAGAGAAGACTCCTGAGCCATTAGAGTCAAGGAAGCCTCAAAGATGGAGTTAGTCCATACCCAAGACTATCATTTTCCAGGCATTGTCTTCAGCGGGTCTCGCATTGTCTGGATTTCTTTGTCAGAGAGAGATCAAGATAAAATAAACAACTCAAGTTCACTGTTTCTGAGCAGTATGAACTTGGCTGTCAGGGATGCCCTTGTAGGCGGAGATGCAGAGGATCACTGAGAAATTGTGTGGAGCAGATTGATCAGACCTAAGCATTTATGGGAGTGTGGCCTGTGAAGGTTCTGGAATCTGTGTCATAACAGAGGCTTAGAACATCAGAGAGGCAAGACACAAGGCAGAGGAGGATCAAGAGGCTAGGAAGATTTAAGGATAAAAGGGAACTCACTCTATCTGGGCTTTAGAATTATTTCCACTTTTTCAGAGATTTTAAGGCCAGAGATTGTATACCATTACTCTTTGTAACTCTTGAAGCAGAGAACCTTCCACAGAATAGGTACTTTATAAATGTTTGATAATTAAAAATGAGAAAAATGTCTATATTTAAAAAGAGGTAGACTGGATAAATAAAAAGTGGTACATATACACCATGGAATACTACACAGTCATAAAAAAGAATGAGATCATGTCCTTTGCAGCAACATGGTTGGAGCTGGAGACCACTATCCTAAGCAAACTGAAGCAGGAACGGAAAACCAAATACCACATGTTCTCACTTACAAGTGGAAGCTAAAGAACAAGAACACATGGACACTAAGAGGGGAACAGCAGACACTGGGGCCTACCTGAGGATGGAGGCTAGGAGGAGGGAGAAAAAATATCACTTGGGTGCTATGCTTATTACCCAGGTGACTAAAGAATCTGTTCGCTAACCCCCCACAACATGCAATTTACCTATATAACAAACAATTACATGTACCCTTAAACCTAAAAGTTAAAAAAAGAAGGCCTCGAAACAAATGAAGGTGAACAAAGGAAGTCAAGTGTTGGAGTTAGATAGCAAGAAGGAACCCAGTCCAGAGGTCTGTGGTGCTAGGAAGAGTGAGCCAGTAAATGGGATTTCATAAGCCACCGTGGAGAGCAGGGAGAATAACAAACACTTTTACTGAGCGTCTATTGACTACGAGGCTCTAGAGTGGGTACCTTGTAAGCATAAACTTGTTGAATCCTCAATAAACTTTACAAAATTCTTTAAGATGGAGAGAGACACTAGGAGTTACCCAGCCAACAAATGGCAGAGTTTCTGACTCCAAAGCCTATACTATATTCACAAAGCCACATTTTGTTTCAATCTTATATGCATCATGTGGTGGTGATTTCTGGGGTAAGAAGTCAGTCACTTGAAGAGGACAGTGATGCCTTCTAGTTTTAGGATGCTCTACCTGCCAAAAATAATTCTCAAAATTTTTGAGATTATTTTTCCGTGTTTTGTGCACACTTATAGGACACCATCAAACATACAAATATATTAATTATGGAAGTACCAGAAGAAGAGAAAGGGGAAGGAGCAGAAAGCTTAATCAATGGAATATTATCTGAAAATTTTCCAAATCCTGAGAGGGACATGAACATCCAGACTGAAGAAGATCAAAGCATCTCAAGCAAGTTCAGTTAAAAAAAGACACATTCCAAGATACCTTATAATCAAATTGTCAAAGGTCAAAGACAAAGAGAGGATTCTGAAAGAACCATCACATATAAGAGATCTCCCATAAGCCCATTAGCAGACTTCTCAATCAGGAGGGAGTGGGGTTACATACTTAAAGCGCTAAAAGAAAAAGAAATACCAACCATGAATGCTATACTTGGCAAAGCTATCTATGAGAAATGAAGGATAGATAAACAGATAAAGACATTTAAAGACAAAAGTTGAGGGAGTTCATCACCATGAGACTAGCTTTCAAGAAATGTTAAAGGGAGTTCTTGGAGTTGAAACAAAAGGACAATAAGTAACAATATAAAAATAGAAAAAGTATAAAATCCAATGGTAAATATATATGTGCATATATATATATACACACATATATGTACATTTATATATTATATACATTTATATACGTATATATACATATACAGAATACTCTAATATTGTAAACATGGTGTATAATCACTCTTATGAAAGTTAAAAAACAAATGTATTTAACTATGGCTTTAGTAATTGGTTCACATCATATAAATAAAGATATCTATCATAAACTGTATATACGTGTGTGAGAAATAAATGTGTAGGGCCTTTGTATTTTATTGTAGTTAAGGTGTTATCAGCTTAAATTAGGATATTATACTATAAAATATTTTTTGTAAGTCTCATGGTAAGCACAAGGAAAAAATCTCCAGCAGATACACAAAGGATAAAGAAAGAAGTGAAAGCAAACCACTACAAAATACTATTAATTACAAAGGAAGACAGCAAGATTATAAGAAAGGAACAAAAGAACTACAAAACAGTACAGAATTTAACAATATGTCAATAGTAAGTTCTTATCTATAAATAATTACTTTAAATGTAAATAGATTTAATTCTTCAATTAAAAGACACAGAGTGGCTGAATGATTTTGAAAGAAAGAAAAAACAAGATCCAACAATATGCTGTCTACAATAGACCCACTTGAGCCCTCAGGACACACATAGACTGAGAGTGAAGGAATGGAAAAATATATTTCATGAAAAGTGTAACTTAAAGAGGGCAAATGTGGCTATATTTATATAAGGAAAAATAGATTTTTAAAAACTACAAAAAGAGACAATGAGGGTCATCACATAAGGAAAAGGAGTGAACTAATAAAGAGCAAATAGCAATTGTAAATATATATGTACCCAACATCAGAACTCCTAAATATATGAAGGAAATATTAATATTTTAATTAATTAATTAAAATTAATCTAAAAAGTGAGATTGACTGTGATATAATAATATTAGTGGACCTCAATTCTCCATTTTTAATGTAGAGATCATCCAGACATTAGACCAAGTGAACCTAAGACATATACAGAACATTTTATCCAATAGCTGCATTGTTCTCAAAGCATACGAAACATTCTCTATGATAAATAATGTTAGACCACAGAACAAGTCTTTAACAACTTTAAGAAGACTGAAATCAAACCAAATATTTTTCTGAACATAATGGAATGAAACTGAAAATCAATAACAGAAAGGATTTTGGAAAAATTATAAATCTGTGATATTTGGAAAATAAAATGAAGATATCACTTACAATAGAACCAAATAATGTAAAATTCTTAAGAATATAGTTAAAACAGTATATGCAAGATATCTGCACAGGAAACTAAGAACCCTTTCAGATAAAAATTTAAAAATACCTACATAAAGGAAGATAACCTAAATAAACTGTTGTATCTAGGCTATTTGAAGAACTTCTTTAACTCCATAAAAATATAGTAATATAAATAATTCAATAAAATAGAAAAAAGATTTGAATGAATATTTCACAAATAAAGATAGATGATTAATGAATTCAACATAATTATCAGGAAAATGCAAACCAAAATGAGTTATCACTTTATATTCACTAACCTGGATATAATTAAAAAGACTGAAAATATCAATTATTGGTTATGGGGAATCATTGAAACTCTCATACATTGCTTGTTTGAATGTAAGATAGTCTAGCCACTTTGGAAAACTGATTTGTAGTATTTTATAAAATTAAACACATGCCTACTCTGCAACCCAGATATTGTATATGGAATGAAAAGCAAAGTATAGGAGAAATGAAATATGTGTCCACAATAGACTTGAAAGAGAATGTTCGTAGCAATTTTACTAATAGCCAAAACCTAGAAACATCCAGGTATCCATCAGCAGAAAAATGAGTCAAAAAAATGAAGCATATTTATACAATGGAATTCAACTTAAAATATAAAAAGAACATACACAGTAATATACATGATCTCAACATTATATTGAATGAAAAAAATTAAGTATAATAGAGTAAATAGTGTATTATTACCATACGAAGTTAATGAAAAGGCAAAACTAAACTTTGATGATAGGAATCAGACTATTGTTTGCCTGTGAAAAATTAATGTTCTTTGTTTTGATTGAGGCATGAATTACTTGGGTGTGCACAATTGTTAATACTTATAATCTGTGCTTGTAAAAATACATGTCTGTAAATTACACTTCAATCATTTAAAGAAGAGAGATTGCAAAATTTTGAGTTTGAGAGTAGAAATTCAAGCCTAATCTTGTTGATCCTATTATGACTACTGGGTTGAAAGGGAGACAGACCCTGGCTTACTTTATAACACTAATGATATGGGTTCAAGGTGAGAGAAAAAAATATTTTTCATCATCCCAATGAAATTTATGTCTTCTCACATCCACAATTTTTTTTCAATCTCATGTCTTTGGAAAATCCTGCTTCATAAATACAGAAGAGAAAGCTACACCCTCCCCCCTAGGAATCAGGGGTTGTCCTAATATCCTCTTTCACATCATTCTCTTCTATAAATCCAGTGTCCTTAAAATTAGTTAGGCCTACAATCAATCAAGACTGTAATAATAAATAGTAAGTGGAACGGCCAAACTTGTCTTTCCTAATCTTTTGAATTAACAAAATATCCTTTATCCAAAGGGAAGAGAAGAAATCCTGTGTCAGGAGGACATAATTGCTAATAATGCCAATCCATCTATCTTTTTTTTTTTTTTTTTTTTTGTGAGAGAGAAAGACAGGGTCTCCCTCTGTCAGCCAGGCTGGAGTGCAGTGGTACAGATATGGCTAACTGCAGCCTCTATCTCCCAATCTCCCAGGCTCAAGCAATCCTTGTCTTCCTGCCTCAGCCTCCTGAGTAACTGGGACTACAGGCAAGTGTCATCAAACTCAGCTAATTTTTTGATGTGTAAAGAAATGGAGTCTCACTGTGTTGCCCAGGCTGGTCTCAAATTCCTGTCCTTAAGCTACTGTCCCATCTGGGATAAGTGCTGGGATGTTGGGATTACAGGCTTGAGCCACCACACCAGTCTCCCTCTTTCTAGAAACAGAATAAAGGTGAGGGGGTAGGTAGGCAGGATTAGACAAACAAAAAACACTGTCCGCTGTGAATGATCAATTCAACCAAACTAAAAGACTATGTATCAAAATTCCCTGCACCATTCTCCCTACTGATAATCACACTCCTGAGTAGTCCCTTCACACTATAGCAGGAGTGGTCCGTATGACCAGTTGACAACAGCAGAAATGATGGTATGTTACTTCCTGTATTAGGTCATGAAAACATTAAAGTCTCCCT